TTCTCACTTAATTTTAATTCGTCCTTGATATTCTGACGGTATAAGGCTGTTAGGAAGGCACGATCTTCCATAGAACCGGGTACGTCTTTTACAATTATACGGGGCCTACGGCCTTTCGGTTTTTCTAAGCGCAACCCTACTGATTTAATGGCGTCCACAGATTCCAGTTTCTTAAGCTGCCGTTCGTTAGCTACACGTAACACGACGCCTGCCTTAGAGGTTTTTTTAACGCCTACAATTTGAAATCCCTCATCGCTCGGTTTAATAGCCTTCATGAGAGCTTGTTTCGTTGCTGACGAGGTCGCATAGTCCGCTAGGCGTTCCGTAGTGGGATAGGCAATAACACAAGGCCTAGGAACGCGCGCTTCAGTAGGTACCGGACACGGAGCAGATTTAGGTGGTAATCGAAGCTTAAGCTTGTCCGCGTACGTTAAACTCGTTTGTTGAGTTGCGATACCCTCCATTTGTCGCTCAAAATTCGCTATCTTCGTTTCGTTGCTAGAGGATTTTATTGCTAACAAAGATACGATACCGGTAATTCGTTGAGTAATATCCATAATTGCCGTTTTATTACCTACATTCATACGAGATCCCTGATCATTAACTAATTCATTAATTTTTGCCAAGTACTCGGTAGCCTGTGAGACTAACTCGCAGTAATTGTATTCCCCACAGTTATCACGACAGTTAAGAGACGAAACATTTGCACTTAAATCCGAATTATTCATTCGTTTACTTCTATTGTCTTTCGGCGAGAAATCCGTAGGTGACATTTCGTTAAATGTCCTTTTCCCGGTTGGTGTTAGAAATTCACTTGTACCGCCGGGATCCGGTAACTCGCTAACGACCGACATAGCCAAATAAAGACTCACCAAACAACAATTTCAAAAAGAACAAGTTGAAAAATAAACAACACGCAAAAAAAATCAATATAAACAAAGGATACCTCCTACCCACTTTTAGAAAGAAAATAAATTTACTCACCAATAGTCGTAATAAAATAATTCAGCACTATATTTCTGTTTAAAAAACAATAAAAACTTACTGATATTCTTTAAAACACTATATACAACCTTTAGCCGCCCGCAAACCGGGAACTAGTCGCAGAAAAACACAGAAAACAATATTTAAATTGTTAGCATATGAAGTCACACGTTAGTCGCACAGTGCCGCGAAGGGAAGTACAGAGTGTGTCTCGGGGAACTTTACAAACATACATAAAATGACACAAAGAACATCGGAACAATGTCACACAAAGTTATGTTCCATGTGGGAATCGAACCCATAGCACTCAGCTAGAACGAAGCTTCGAGGTGACGGCTTAAGTCCCTAAACCATTAGTTCCGTCAGTCTATCAGAGCTTATAAAGTCTCCTGCTTTTTCTATTACAGGATGTAATAAGTTACTCTTTTTTTGAATTAAAAACTTTAGGCGCGTTGGGCATTTTGAACAACAAACAAAAGAATGTATTTTTGTTTTGAGATGGGTATAAACCACTGAACTCGTGATGCTGTTGCCGTTACCGACACCTCTGTATATATTTAAGTAAAAAAAATTAAACATGTTTGGCATTTTTTGAGTTACCGTTACCGACCTCTGTTTATAAGTATATAAGTTTTCACTTCCGTCGCCACGTTTTTTACGGTATAGGGGGGTAAACGAGCCTGTATTATAGTAACCAGACTTCGTTACCATAATACAGGCTCTGCTTGGTTTGGAATCAGACGGTCGTGTGTGATTGTGTGAAGTTATATTATTATTATCAAGTGATACGCCTGCTCATTGCCTCCTTTATAAAAAAAATGGATTTTACAATAAGATATCTATGCTTTTACCCAATTGTAATAATATGGACCTCTAAGTTTCAAATGTATTAAAACATGCCTCGAGTTGCAGGAACTGACGAAAGATGGTGTGATGTTAAAATACGAGGTTATTAAATCTTACGACAGAATTAACCTGCAAAGAAGGTACGTGTGTGTAATTTCTGACTGCACAGATATATGTTGTTCAGTCTGGGTGATCTATATGTCCGTTTCATGTATGTTTGTAAAGTCCCCCACGACACAGGAAAAAAAGAAAAAAAAACTGGCACTCCGGGAGTGCCGACCGAAGTAAAAACTTGAAAATTAATCATTTATTGGATATAACAGGCTTTTCTTGTTTTTTTTTTCGATTCGAACAGTTACATGAACCGACATGAATATACATTCAGTCAAAAAAGTATCGGGAATGGATGATTTGTTTATGGTTCCAAATTCAATATTTTTTTTTTTTGTTGTTCTTAGATTGGCACAACTGTTTTCCATTTTGGCGCGGAGTTTGAGTTGCATCTGTTATTTATATTAAATACAGTGCTGTTTTTAGTTATATCATATCTAGTGTGTATTGCGAATTTCATAATAAAAAAAAACATTGAACGAAGAGTTCGTCTTAAATTTTAGCATCGTCAATCGAATTTCGTGTTCGGAGTCACTGAAAATGTTACAGAAGGCTTACGGTGAAACGACTTTATCAAAAACACGTGCTTATGAGTGGTACAAAGTGTTCAAAAGCGGTCGAGATGTGATGGAAGATTTGCCCCGCTCTGGTAGGCCATTAACGAAAGGAAAGGAAATAGGGACTGAAAATCCTCATTCAACTTTAAGAGAGACAGCCGCCGAACTTTCTGTATCTGACGAGTCGATCCGTACCATTTTAACTAACCATTTGTGTATGAAAATTTTTACCGTTCGGCTAGTCCCAAAAGACCTGAATTTTCTCCAAAAACTCAATCGGATGGGAGTCGCTGAGGACATGCTAGAACGAGTCAATTCCGAACCAACATTCATGAAACGCATTTTTAATGGTGACGAGATGTTTGACATGCAAACTAGTCAACAAGATTCGGAGTGGCGCCTTCCAACTGAACCGAAACCGAAAAAACCACGCCAAAGTCGATCAAAACTCAAAGTCATGTTGACTGTTTTCTTTGACTATCGCGGTGTTGTGCACTCGGAATTCTTGCCGAAAGGTCAAACGGTAAATGAAGAATATTATTTGAGCGTTATGCGGCATTTCAGATAGAAAATTCGACGGAAAAGGCCAGATTTGTGGAAAGAAAATTCTTGGATTTTGCACCACGATAATGAATTTTTGACCGAACACTCAACAAATACCATCGAGCAACCATCATATTCAAAAGATATGGCTCCAGCCGACTACTTTCTTTTTCCTAAACTCAAATTACCACTTCGTGGCACCCGTTTTCAATCGATAGAAGATATAAAGGAGAATTCGCGGCGAGAACTGAACTCAATTCCGGAAACAGCGTTTAAAAAATGATTTGATAATTGGATTATTCGTTGACGCAAGTGTATCGTTTCTGAAGGAGCATACTTTGAAGGTGATAAAATAAATTTGGACGAATAACAAACATTTTGTGTATTAATAATCTTTTCCCGGTACTTTCTTGACAGAGTAGTATATCTATGTTGAACGTATATGTATGTATACACAATATATGTTTATTAACCGACTTCCAAAACACAAAAGAGGAGGTTCTCGATTCGTCTGTATTTTTTTATATATATAGAGACTGTGATATATATAGAGACAGTGTATCATCATGCATGCTTCACTGCATCACTGTATTTCAACCCAAACTCAACTCTCGTTTAAACGGAGCCTATATATGTAGATACTTATATACAGAGGTTTCGGTAACGGTAAGTGTCAAGAGTTTAATGTATTTTTCCCATCTTAAAAAATACATTATTTTGTTTGTTACTCAATAACGCTTAAAGAAGTTTTCACTTCAAAAACATTTGATCAGCTTAAGAAACCATAAACATCTCACGTAGAATTGATATCATTAATGATTAGATGTCACACTACGGTGTATACTCATATTAGCCAGTCATAGGTCAATTACAAGGGCAGTAACTTGTGGGTATAGAAAAACAACAAAAGAAAATTAAAATTATTTATTAAAACAATTTCAATCTTTTAAATTAAATAAACTTTACTAAAGCTAGTGGGCTTCAACTTACACAACTAACGTAGGAAAGCGCAATTAATTCATAGATACAAGTAGCCATAAGTACATCATGGATTAAACGATTTTCTTCTCTGTTACAGTACATAAGATATATAGTAATTGTTCTAGGTATCAATATAGGACTTTTAAAGTTAGGCTCCGCACAGGATAATAATTTCTACTAATTTTTAACATTAAATTACATTAACATTGATTTTGCAAATGCATTTATATGACGTCTGGATATTGAATGCCTTAAAGCGAGTGATCTTTGTACCTATATGATACCTACTCGGTCTAAGTAACATTTTCAAGGCAAATAAATACATAAAACGGTTAGAAAGTTTGATTATGTGATGTACTGTATACGTTATAATACTAAGTATTGATTAACAATAGGGAAGATATCATGTAGGTATGTATAAATTAAATATAGGGTCTTACAGCCACTCTTATCACATATTACAGCTTTATTTACTAGTTTGTCTACCATAGAAAATCTAAGATAATGTTATCGCCTGTATACAAATTTGTAAATTAAATCTACAAAATTAGTTTCCGTTTAAGGTAATCCACTAACTGTATAATACAGGAGGTCAGTATTCGTAATTACAATAATAAAAAAATATGCAATAAGCATCGGATTAAGAAATATAACAATTTCACGTCAAAGAAAACAAATATCTGATTAAAGATATTTTATAGATTTTAGACGAAAATGTAACATCGATTACAATTTGGCATCGTTCAACTAAACGTAGCTTAAATAGCTTACATTATTAGCTATACGATCAGTGGAAATAAATGCGAACAAGCGTGGCTCTAGCGACTCGCTCAGTTTCAGCACGACTCACGCACACCAACACTCCTTGGGGCAGGCCTCACTCAAATTTAGTGAAGCGTTCGACACGTCGGTAGTATAATGTCCCTCCATTACATTACATTCTAGAAACCGGCTCAAAACAATAAATCACAAATACATTCATATAGCGCTCGTTTTAACGTTTTTAGTGGAAATGAATTTTTGTTCGATAGACCTCCTTGGTATACCGCTGACCCTTTTGGGCGAAATGTTGCAGTTTATAGAGGAAGGAAGAGATTTGTAGCCCCCGTCAGAACTATAGTCGGTGTCGGTGGATTGTCCGAGGCTTGGGCTGTGTCGGTTGACGCTCTCTTTGCTGCTGATCCTGCCGTTGTACAGGTCGCCGTATGATGTGTGGTGTTTGATAAGAGGGGTAGACTCTTCTATGACGACGTTCTTTGCCATCGTTCGTTCTGTATATGTGTATGTCTGGTTTTGGAAATTTTCTGTAGAACGAGATCTGTTGGTGTAAAGAGATTTCCGGTCGGTTTTCTCTCCTACAGACGAGTCTCTCTTGATGTATCTACGGTTGGTGTCATTGTTAGCGAGTGCTTGTAAGTACCGAGTCCCAACACGACTGTTAGTCTTGAGGTGCACTGTATCTCGTTTGTCTGTCTGTAAATTCTCGTCCCCATTAAACTGACCGTTCACTTTTCTCACACCGCACTGGCATTTGTTCACAACCCCGTTGGTAACAGGTCTCTTAGTCTTTTGTGCTTCACTGTAAGATGGCAGCTTCCTCACGCCAGCTTGTTCATTCCAACTGTGGACATATTGATTATTTTATTAGTAAATATAAGGAATTGTTTTGAACATACACCATATTCAGTCTGTACAATGTATCTTGAACCTAAATTGTGTTGTCCTTAACAATGCTATTATACAGAATATGATAGTAAATTGATATTAAGCGAATGCAGAGAATGCAAAACATGTAGATTTGAAAAGACAATTTACATTAGGACACGTTTACATCAGATAGACAAAATGACAACCATAGCAACGTTCTGCGTGTACTCTGCATTTATAGTAATCCTCACCTTTAAATTCTGCAGGGGCAGCGTGTAACACAGAGAAGAATTTCATAAACAACGTAAAATAGAATTAGATGTTTGATCATTTGGAACACACGACTACCTACAGTTAAAACACAAAATAAATGTTCAACTAACTGCCTTAACCAAGCCAATCGACCAAATTAATAAGTGCCAATAGTGCCGTGCAGTGTTCAAATAAACTCAACTTGAGTATTCATGCTTAGGCACTTTTGTCCAGTCAATAACTAGCACCAATTTCTCAATTTCACAAACATTCGACTTTTTTGCCTCATCTTGAAACTTCTACACTCTTGCCGTTAATTTTAAGTTAAATCTTCATATTTATGTAGATTAGTACCAATTTTCAAGTGCTGTACTTACCAAAAAACAGCCAGTTTTAGGGTATACGTAACGTAAATAGTAAATTAAAATTTGGGAACGGTATTAACATAATTTGACATTTATGTCTATCTTTAACGTATTTCACAAGTAGATTACAATGAGACTACTAGACAGAGAGATAGGATCGATTAGATTGTGGTCAACTCAAATAAGATGATAAATGAGCAAGTTGCAGCAAGTGTGTAGAAGTCCCAAGAGCTCAAGCATTCTAATTTTTAGTACCTAACCAACTAATTCAGTAGCGACTAGTTTTATTATTGCGTCACACAATATCGAGATCCAAAGTAATTAATTTGCTAACTTTTAAAACAATATTTACAATTTTTGGTCAATTTTGTTTACCACATCTACGGTCATGCAAAGTCGGGTGTGATGCGATCACTTGTATCTGTAGCAGTAATCGTCGATATCCCTATCGGAAACCAGAAACACAGTATCGATGGCCTCATTCTGGTATAAAAGATGCAGTAAGCACAACACATTGACGGAACACAAGAGGCAAACAGCGAGCAAGCAGTCGATCCACGCTACCTGATCCGACGGACGAACCCTCGTACCCAAGTGGAAACTGCCGCGTCCAATATCCAATTTTTTTATGAATTTTCAATGAAAATCCAATCGAAATTTAAAGCAGCATGTGAGGAAATTAGAACAAAATGAAAATTTGAAAATGGCCTGATGAGAATGTCAAAATTATAAATGATACACACATGACTCGGCAAATCTTTAAAATGCTAATGCAAACGGACAGAATAACATAAGTGAGTCAGATAAAAATACCAGTGAAATATGGCGATAGTGTCAAAGTGACTCTACACATGGAAGTTGGTGCAAACGTCATTTTATTATTCATGTAATCTTTGAATATGATGATCCATTTGGATTTATTGAGGTCTGATATTAAAGTTTGACTTTTTGAAACGGTATTTTGTATGAGTGAATGGCATCGCTTTTTATAATGTGATATGTATGAAGGGATTTCAGGTGGTATGTACATTAAGATGATTGATGAATGCAATGAACATATAACGGACTTTATCGAAGCGAAGATAAACCTAAAACAATAAAATAAAAAATAAAGGAGCAGTAATAGTTATGTAAATAGAATGGGTTTAAAGATCTGAAGCAATAGTGTTAACAGTGTATTTGTATGAAAACATAACGTAGTTTGTATAGTATAGAAGCGTTACCTCACTAATCCGGAATTGTCAGAACTCGTCAGCGCCGAACTCATCGGCGGCCGCAACTGTAAAGGAAACACATAAGTTAAGTGCAATTCTTATCATATTTGGTTTACTTAATACAGATTTTATACACATATTAGCCAATACCATAGGACCATATATACAATACAACATTTCTATGGCATTGACTGATACAATATGTATTAAGTTTCACTTGGATTAATCTGTTTTTCTTACTTTTTATTCAAAATATTTAACAAGTCAGAGAAGTTACATTGAAAACATTTTATTACATAAATGTTTTAATATAAAAATTAAAAGAAACTAGGCTTTAAATATCCGATCTATAGAGACACACAGCTATAAAAGTCTTAACACAAAACTTAGTTTTTGGGTCAGACGTTAAATGGATTATTATTCTGAAAGCAGAAGTTCATAATCCACATAAATAAATATAGAGAAAATTGATTTATGTGGATGACGAATTTCGGCTTCTACAATAACTACAGTTTAGTTTAGTTTATTGTTGTTTTTTCAGATAGATCACAAGATAGACAAAATTATATTGATATTTAATATTCAGATCGGTTGTTAAGAAATTGACACTTATTGACGGTCACTGATACTTTATATTTTTCTGGCTTCATTATTCTATGCGTTAAGTGTGTTTTATTACATCGATATTGCTATTAATTTTTTGACTGACTGGCTTTTTATTGACAATAATATTTGTCCCTTAGTGAGTGAGTCTTGCATTTTCAAATATTTTTTAACCCGGTATTATTCAGATTTCAGTTAACATTGATACATTTACTGATTGATTGATACATTTTTGAATTAGTTTGTTATATTTTAATATTGGTTATTCAGGGTGGTTAAGCGTACACACCCGTTCAGTCTGCGTGGCGACGTTGCAGGTGTCGTCCTGACGCGGCTCGTGGCTCTCCGCCATGCGCAACATCTGTTGCTGCAACACGCGCACGAGACGGTCGCGCTCCTCCAGCTGACTCTGTAATGTACAATAAAACTTTTACTTACAATTCGACTTTACAAAATTAATGGATTATTTTACACATGCTGTATACGTAATCTTCGTCAGCTACTTAACGATAGTTTACCAATTATAATTCCAAATTAAAATTACAACGCTTTCATCTTAACTAGTCAATTAGGCTGTTTAATTTAATAAATTATTTATTATTTAAAACTAGACTAACTTTAAAACTTCGCTGTGACACATTATCCTTGCATTCATGAGCAATGAAGATAAAACTTTTGAAAAAGGATCTTTAAAACGGTTTGTATTTCGTGTCATAATTTGAGCTCAATCGGTGCAGTACCTAGTTTTTTAAGCATACAGAAACATACAATTTATAGCTGATTCGTATTACTTTCGCGAAAACGTAAATGTCAAATGGATTCGTATAATAATTGGTAGTTAAAGTGATAGTTTTCATTTAAAATTATTCATTGTTTGTGTTTCAAGTTGAGTTTGTGTTTGAGATCTTTCCTGATAACATAAAGCATGCCGCCATACCTATGTCACTATAACCATAAACTAAATTTGTGTTACGAATACGAGCTTTTCCTAAACATGAATTAAATCGAAAAAGTGAGGTTATATTTAAGTAGCTCATAACCTTTTTTTAAATTAGTAATATGATTCAACCGAACGAATTTAGCGGTGGTAATGTTCAACCGTATTGTGACGGATTAAGGATATAGTGTTACCACCCCTGTTCATCCCGTGGGTGTCGTAAGGCGACTAAGGGAGCAAACTACGCAGGACAACAGCACTGCAAAGAGAATTAAAATTTGACACAACCCCTATAGCAACTCGTCTGTCCAGCATGGTATAGTAGGCCAAAACCTCATTTCTAAGTAGAGGCTTATGTCCAACAGTGCACTAGTAAAGGCTGTTGATGATGAATGTTTAAAGATAGACAGACATCATTAAGACGATTTCAAAAAGGTACTTATAAAAATATTAGCCCTGTTGCGAGAAGCTTTCAAATAAAAATATAATCAATAACAAAAATATCGGAATGTGAATGTACTCAATATAAGTAGGTTTTCAAAAAAAGTGCATTCCCTCGCATCCTCAAACACTTTTTAGCTCAATTTCAAATACTGTTCTCATTCGTGTTAGCTCTCATACGAAATATTAGTTTTATAAGACCATTTTCAAATTTAACTTGCAATTTCTAAAATGAAAATTTTGTATTAATAATTACGAGTTCTCCTAAAATTATTTGGATATAATAAAATGTTTTAACGTAAAGTTACTTACGGACATAAAAACGACCGAAGTTTTCTGTAACAGTCATTTTTGAGCGCAATGTTTTTAAAAAATGGCTTTTATTTAAAAATAATGAGTAGTATTGGTAGGTATACATACTTGCAGGTAGAGTATCTGCCGGCGCATCTCGGCGCAGGCATCGGGGTGCAGCGGCGAGGCGGGGGGGCGGCGCCCGTTGCCGCGCGCGGGGCTCTCCGCGCACGCCGCCAGCAACGGGTCGAGAGTTTCGCTCTGTACATAATACATGTACACGTCTAATTATTTACAGGAAACGCTTCTCGCAAACTGAAATTATATTCCTATCTTGAGCACTTTTGCGAATCGGTATCTCAAGGGTAATTAAGTCGTTGAACGCATTGGTCTACATGAATGTAATAAAATCACTCAACTAAGGTTATACGTTATTAACTACATAGGTGCAGGTTGGTTTTTCTGCCTCTACTAAACAACTTTACCTCAACAGAGCAACCTTGAACTTTAATATAAATTATCACTAAAACTAAACTAAACACGAAATTATTCTGTTAAACAATAGTAGGGGATGATTATAATAATACAACTTATAGGTAAGAATACTTTCAATAATTATAGTCTAGTACGAGTAGGTACTATTTAATAAACATGATGTACACGTGTGATAAAAATATATATTTATATATTTTTCGGTACTTTTAGTCTTAAGTTGAAGAATACAAAGTGTACAGGCAGATTGTAACCTACAATTTACTGCAGCTCTCTATGAACATTTAATATCAAACTATTTATTAAGGATTACGGATAATGTACTTACTAAAAGTTTAAGTCGAACCCTATGATATATAAATCGGAAATTCCCACGTGATGTACTTTTTATTATTCCGTAATAGCTATTGCCTGCTGCTTGGCTCGCGAGATTATCTTCCATACAACCATCTTCCTTTATTTTATACCCTTAAGGGTAAAATTCCCAAAAAATATTTCCTAGTGAGTGCTTACAATGTAAAAGAACATCAGCTGCCAAAATTTCAAGTTTGTAGCCCAAGCGGTTAATTAAGGCTTTGCGTTGATGAATCATTCAGGGTAAGCAATTTTATATGTATAGACGTTCGATTAGTCAGTTTAGTTATTATAACAGAATGGTATTTCTGCTGGCATTTTTTTAATAGAATCGTTAATATCATACAATGCACTAGCACGATAAATCCTTTAAAAAAGTTAAATCGACTTCAAACAATAGACATAAGACAAAGAGCGCTAAAAACCTAGCAGCAATCGCGGTTGATTTACTGTCATTTTTTGAAGAGTTCCGTTGTCTGTCTTCGAAACTGCTCATCAGATCTATATGAAATTTAAACGGAACTATTTGGGAATAAAATTCTTTCGAATTAAAAAGAATTGTGCAAAGCCGTCTATATTTGACGGAGTTATGCCCGAACATACATAAAAAATATAAACATCCGAATTGATAACCTCCTCCTTTTTGAAGTCGGTTAAAAAAGAGAAATACACTACCTCACATTTATAAATTGTGTAAAAACTGAATATATTAAAACAATACGTGTACAAATTGCGAAAGTTTACAACTATTTGTTATAGCTAGCGTAATACGAGTACATACGAGTATACTTTTTGTCAGGATACCAGTACATAATGGCACCTAATTTATACCTTAATATAATACTATATGTAAACAAAGACGGGTTAGTTACACCATTTACTTGTATAATTGAAGAAGCGGTTGGACCGATATTTTTCATTTTTGATTTGTTGTTTTTTTTTGTGTCCCGACGAACGGGTTACTTATTAAATATTAATTAATAAACACGAAAAAAGAAATGATTAATTTTTTGATACAATCTGTATTGAAAAAAAAACACAGAGCGGAGTTGTAACTAAAAATGTACCGTACCGTAACTGCTAGTTACGTATAGAAGAATATTTTAAATATTTTGAAGTTATATATTTGGTGCTGATCTTGATGATCTAACATTGTATTTTAAAACTTATGTCTTGAAAAAGCGTGGTTTGAAATTACCGATAAAGGGGGAAAGTAATTGTGTGTGCAGTCGCTTGTGTGATCTCAAAGGAAGGAGCTAACAGCGATAATAGATAACAAGTGATAAGATGAGTGTGATAATAGTTATAAACACCGTAAACACTTTCAATCATTACAATTGTTTCGTACGATTCTGTAATTCAAAAACTGAATTCCTGCTTTCTAGTGTAGGTATTAGCAATTTTATGAAAATAAACGTACTAAGTAACTAACCGAATAGCTGTCAGTTCTCGTAAGTATGGTCTCGTAAAAATGTATTTAAAAGTATAAAAATAATAACAACAACTTTAGACACCTCAAAATCGACCACCATCAGTCTGAGCCACCAGACAGATTGCTTATAAACATACTATACATTATTAAACATCTACATATTAGAGATAGATTACACCCAGACACAGAACAAATGATCGTGCTCACAACACAATTATTTATCCTGGGTGAACACCGAAGCCACGACCTCTGGCTTAGCGGTCAGGATCACTAACCATTAGACCAGGGATTCCCAAACTATTTTGGGCAAGAGACCCCTTTCCCAAAATGAACTGATACCGCAGACCCATAGCCAAATTACTTTGAAAATCTTATCTCTAGTTTTTTCCTATTAATACAAAATATTTACCAATTCAAAAACTTTGCGGTTGATTAAGAGAGTAAAGAACAATGGCAGAAACATATTTACCTAAAACTGAAGCGTTTAAAAAATTGACTAACAGTAAACTTACTAAATATTTTTTCTATGATTTATCATTATACCGCCATGTGTTGTATAAGTCTAATAAGAGATTGGATATTTTTAAAGATTTTATTTGACCTAAGTACGTAATGTCAGAATCGCCATCACGAACTGACTAGGGATGCGTGATGATATTATTATATTATGGAACGTTTTAACTTTGATTGTTATAACTTTGGCTTGAAATATCTATCGAAGGTCACCTATTATGATTATGAATTTGCTTCTGCTCGGTTTACTCATGCGCTATCGTAACTAGTACTGTAGTGACTAAATCAAACTAATTAGAAATAATTTAGAATATTTTTGACTCTTTTTAAAAGATTTTTGCTACACCAAAATAAATAGAATATAGTTACGTTATTTTCCTACAGAAAAATACTAAAACAATATAGTGAGCTTAGTGTGATGAGAAAAAGACATTGTATTTTGATAACGGCACAAAAATTAAAAATATCGATACGTCGTCGTTGCACTTACTAGTCTTGTCGTTTGACACTTACACGCATGACTTACATACCATTTCTCACAAGGCAATTGTAATTTGTTTGGTTGTTTTACTTTTGTTTAGTATTAAACTCTCATATTTGTTTATTTTAATTTTAATTTCATATAGTGCTACTCCAATATGCATGATGTGATGCCTTAAAATGTTGTGCATTAATCTCAATATAATAGATGCATGCTTTTAGTAAATAATGTCACAACTACTGACTGTTGAAAAACTAAATAAATAAATAAATGCTCCCGCCTTGTGTAAATGTGTATCGTAGTACATTTATTCAAATTATTATTAATAATTTATTTATTTATAGCTAGTATTGCACCTGGTTGGTAAGCGAAGATTTTTTCTATTGTTTACCAATACATGCCAAGCAAATACCCTTCCTTCCTTCACCCATTTAGAGAGTCGGCTAACACTTTCTACAGCAAAATAGGGTTGCTTATAAGTAATAATAATGATAAATAATATTTTCGAATATATGACACACAACGCCATCTAGTTTCAAACAAAACATTGACAATATTTTAGTACTTAACCTCGAAGCATTCAAAATCCAATATCTTTTTTCCTAGACTTCTTTCGCTAGTAATTTTTTTATGAGAAGGTTCAAGAATAAATTCTCAAGGGTTATAGGCATTTTTGATATTTAAACGCTGTCATTTCACTTCAAATAAAATTATGTATGGGGACCTGCCATTGTCCTTTGACATCGTTATACAGTTATACTTTATCATCTTTATCATTATCAACATCATTATATAGTTATAGTTTCTTGAAAGTTTCAAATAAGAACTTGTGTTAATTAATAGGGGTCGATTTGCAACCAAAATTAGTTTTCGTTATTAACAATCGATTTTGACCCTAAGGGGTCTATATCCCTGCATTAGACCAAAATAGGACTAATCCCACCCACACGCGGTCATGTTTTGTATAACCTCAAGGTAATGTGTAAATGTTATAACTTATAGGCCGAATCTGGTTGGATTATTCGGTGTGTTTGTTTTACATAGTAGTACAAAATTATGATTATTTCGAGGGTTTTAAAAATACCTGACAAAATATTTTCGAGAGCTACCAACTTCAAATTTGGATACTAAAAAGATAAATATAACTAGCCGTTTGTAAATAAATGGTGAAGAAAAGTGAGAAGAAATCGAGGAAACCTCGTAGGTCGAGATCGTGAATCGAGGAAACGTCAGTTCAGTAAGTGTCAGTTTACTCGATTTCTTTTTTTTATCTGAGTTTACCTTTTGGACCTTTTTGATACATTCCATTTCAAAATATGGCATTCCATATTTTTATTTGATACATTTATCAAATAGGTCTAAAAGCTTAACTCGCACTGCGGTAAGTTTTAAGTGTTAAAAAAGTGATAGGTTAAGCAAGTCGCTTACCGTATGTTTATAATAAAAATAGATTAGGAAATATAAATGCTGATGGAAACAAAAACTAATACTAAGCATAACATCTAATAGTTGTACTATTAAATATTTACAATTTGACACTGAAAATGCAAGTCAAATTGTGTCCTTTAGAAAAATGAATGTGGGTGAATTTCTAAAAGGTGCCTATGCTTTTTTCCATGAACGTGTAAATAAAAGACGTGTGAAAAGAATTTACGCGAGCATGTGACTTAAAAGCAATGCTTTGAAATACCTTCATCTTGTTAAACAAGCCATATTTTGTGATTTCAATACAAAACCTGAGCCGTGTAACAGTCAGGTAGGTAAAGAGGTTATAAATTGAATAAACAGATTTGATACTTGTAGAGGAAGTTAGTTCTTATTAATGTGTAATAAGTAAACTGAGAAACACGTTCGTTAATTAGGTAAGTACTGAGACGTGGGTTGCGTAAGTGCTTTGCGGTAAGCTTCATGCAGACTAGCATTTTTTTATTGCCAAATGTTGAGCTAAAATATTGTAAACTGACCATCTATTCATTTCATAACTTTACATACACGAACTATAAAGAACTGTTTAAAATTCAATGTTCACACAGAATACTGTTACACAATGAAAATTTCAGTATTAAGAACCATTTGCAAGTATACATTTAATTACAAATAGCTCTTAATAATGTTCTTTTAAATATATATTAGACTTGCAACGAATATTCGGTTAGTATTCGGTATTCAGCCTATTCGGCTGCTTTTTTTATATTCGGCCGAATACCGAATATCTACATATTATTCGGCCGAATACCGAATACTTAAATAATATATTTTGTCATTGAGAAATAATTTGTAAAATGAAAAATTAAAATCGATTGATTACGTATATATTCATATTTTCATTTCTGTTATAATCATTTAAGTAGTCATTGGTGCATAACACAGGTACATAATCATCTTCTGAATAGGATAAATGGAGGATTCTATGTATTTGAATTATTGTGGTAATCAAAATTTAGAAGGGTAAGGTTCTCATGTCTTTTATAATCATTTATTAAGTAGTCATTGGTACATAAAACAGGTACATAATTTAATTCACGTCTGTACAAGTTTTTGGCGCTAAAATCCAGCCGAATACTTTTGCCTAATATTCGGCTATTCGGTCAGGGGCCTCGCCGAATATTCGGTATTCGGTGTACTGCCGAATATACTATTCGTTGCAAGTCTAATATATATATATTAAGAAATAAGGTTTAGATTTTTATTGTAGTTGCCATCAAAAACATACTTAGTACTTACACACTATTAAATAGCTACGGCATCTACGTGTACCAACGGTCGGCAAAGTCTGTGCAAGGCAATATTGCGTGGGCAGTTTACTTACACTCATCGAATGATGCTCCTCCCCGGGCTGCGTGCGGCAAACAAGGCGATGCAACCAAATAAACATACATGTTACAACACGCCAAAATAAAATGTGCTAAAACAAGCAATATTAATAGCACTTTTAACCATAGTCCAACGAGGATAAGAAAAACACTGCTTTGATGGATATTACAACCATACAATTGTAATTTATCTTGAAAGTCAGTCTTGGGCAAAGAGAAATTTGTCAACCTTCAATGGACCGTGGTTAAAAAGTAAACACAGAAAAAAACATCGATTACTACTTACAAAAAGAAAATACAGGTTGATAAAATAACTAAAATGGATATAACTGCGTTTCTACATTAATCAAGGATGTATTTAGAGACAACGCTGTTTCTGTACTTAAGCAATTCTGTAGCTCTGAGTCATTGTGAGATTTCTATCTAGTGTGACTAGTTGCGATAGAAATCTGTTCAGTTCTAGTTAACTGTTGATGTGGGATGGGACCATGGATGGTTAGTAACTAAAGGAAAACAAACATCTATTTCAACATGCCCTAAGCAATACAGAAAATAAAATTATGTAATTGATTAGGTACAACCATTTTGTATTTAATAAAACATGCTTTTACAGGGATATGAAAACTACATACCTGTCTACATGAATAAGATAAAATTCAACTAGCTATTTTTTTATGAAGTGTGAATAAACATCGAGTATTACTTTTTATATCATCAAGTCTAACTCTACCACGACGTCTACATTTCAAGCAGAATATAAATTAAATCAACTCTCGAAATTAATTACACTAAAATGGATGTTTTATTTCATATCATTACTAGGTACATTGAAGAATTAATAGGTACTTTCATTTGAAGAAGATTTCATGAAAATCATTAATTTAGCGTAGTGAATGGAATGTATTTTTTTTTACTTTCATTACAATGCAAAATGTGAACACGTCAAGAAAAAGACTACGAAAGTAAAATGTGACTAATTCAGCGATCACTATCTCCGATCGAGTACAATGAACGTAAATCGAACCGTGATCAGAAACAGTAGCTCAGATGTTTAAGAAACGTATGCGTTGGAGCAAATCATGCAAAATACTAAACACAATTGAAACACGATATCAATACACACACTCGATCTTAGAATTGCGAACATGAACTTAATAGTTCCAACTGCCAGTGCATATTTCAATCTTATATAAGTTTATTTAAGATTTAACAACAGAATCCTAAGTGGGTTAAAATGCATGAAAACGTCATTTCTATAATTTGGACTCCAATTTGTATTTAATGTCTAGTAGTAAGTGGGACATGCCTAACTGTTGTTTCGCTTGGTAACTAGCTACAAAATTTACATTAGAATGTAGGCAAATAGGAAATATTTATACCGATTAGGTTACCCCAATTTTAACCGTCCTATTTTTTAAATTTTGCATGGTGTTGAATGTGGCATTAAACATTAGACATATTTAATCGATAAACAGTTATCAAACAAGCAACTTGAAATCATTATATATCACAAATAAATAGAGATAACTGATTAGCTTAGCGTGAAATACTTACTTAAAAACTTTTAGGATCTATTCGAAAAATTTCCAGGATTCATCTTCAAGAATAAGAAACTGAAAATTTTCAAACAGCTTTTTTAAGTTTTTTTGTAGACTAACCTCCTGTAAGACTCGCTTGAGTTGCAGCAGCAGTGTCTTAATGTCCACCACATCTTGCAGCAGCGAAGCGGGCGCAGGCGCCGGCGACGCACTCCCGTCGCTGATGCCTGCGTCCGAAGGCGTCTGAGTCCGCGATCGCTGGAGAAGACGTGCTGTGCGAACTGGTAAACTGGCCCTGGGGAAAATATATATTATTGTTTAATTACAAATAATATTACCAATTTGGTAACGACTATGAATTTATAATTAACACCTGATAGATTATTTAATCATAAAATTTAAGACTGTTCCAAAAATTCTTTAGTAACCATAAAACTAAAGTGTTGCATTTAATTAAGTTATACAGCATTAAGACATTTGTACGGGAGACTAGTATCTGACTGGCTCATGATGATGATGATTATGACTAATTCAATAAATAATGTTAGGTACAAACTAAATTTTTTATTGAAATCGACACTTAAACTATGTATATAATTAGAGATTTCGCACGTGAAGACTTTACGCGAAGATTTCAACAGGCGATAAATCGGCACTTTCGTAGGAAATCCATTTAAGTCTGAGAATAGTTTGTTAAATAATAGGTACTATGTAAATATAATATCAATAAATTCAAAACTTACAATTAGAAATCTTAGAATTTGTATATTGTATCAGTAATACTCGTAAGTCTATGAATTTCGATAAACTTCAATCCTCATCTCTCTATTTCAAAGAATTATTAAAAGTAGGCAATGTACCAATAACTAAACCAGTGTGAGATTATTAACAAAAAATCTTTCTTCTATATGTCATGTATCAAGCAAGTACTACGAGTATAACGACAATACTTGTACGAGTATAAGTTTACAGACCAGGGCCCCAATTCCGCTATTTTAATATTGTATCAATAGAGTGTCGATGGAGTGTCGTCGGAATAGTTTGGCACTTTTCGTAATCTGCTAACTAAATAAAGACCAATGGCCTCCCGATGACTTGTCACTGATACAAAATGTTTTCGATGTCTGTTCAATAGTTTGCTAAACGGTAGTCTACAAGTGTTTGACAGAATTGACAGTTGTTTTAGTGATGCGCAAAATGTATCACTGAGCTGAAAAGATTGATACATATCATTTCGCTCAAAAGATATATATCACTCATCTAGCTCACTAGCTCATTTAGCTCACTAACTCATTTAGCTCACCAACTCATTTAGCTCACCAACTCATTTAGCTCACCAACTCATTTAGCTCACTAGCTCATTGATCCGATTCAATTGATTGGTCTCTCAATTAATTTATTTCTTCATCTAAGCCTTTAAGCCACTTTAAGCCTCTCTCGCCATACAAACCTTTCTTTATTTTCATATTAACCTAAATTCAGTTTTTGAAACTACATTCTTAACCTTTTTTTTAAATAAAATTTATTCATTTTGATAAGATTACATAATTATTAACACCCTTTTATACAATATTTAAAAAAAGAAATTATTTCTTGTACTTTTTTTAGGTTGTATAATAGAATCCATACATAATTTGATTTTCCTTGTACTTGGCAGGCTTAATTCTTAAGTAATATTAAACTTTGATCCTATAGAAATAATGTACATTTTGCATAAAGAAACTTGCGTGAACTCAACCATCATCTATCTCACTCATTTATCTTTAGTCTCACTCGCTCATGAAACAAAGATCGGCGTCGTTGAGCTAGTGATCTAATGATCTAGTGAGCTATTACTGAGTTACTGATATATTCGGAGCTAGTGGGAGTGAGTGATACATTTTATCGTCGTGAATGATATATATCTTTTATATCACTCATTCAGGAGCTACACAACTCTAAGTTGTTTCAATGACACCACGATGGCTTCGGAGTGAATAATATTGTTGTTAAACTATCATTGATCTGCCATCAAGCAGTCACTGCTTTTTTGAGAGTGTTATGTGCGTATTTAGTTATTTACGTTAATTCAATAAATAAGTAATTAAAGTGCGTAAACAAATATGCCTCAACTTGCAACGGAGGCAAATATTAGAAGCTGCTTACAACGAAGATCGTCGAGTTAAAGAGGTTTGAAATCGCCAATGAGTTCGTGGTTTGTCGAGACAAAGTGGTAAATATTGGACATAATATGCGAGGACACATTTATAAAAGTGTTTAGGCTAACAAAAAGCCTTGTGGAGAAGATATCAGCATTATTCCTTCAGACAAAGGTAAAGTTAATAATATGAAAACAAATGTTCTATTGGTAATTTATGTTTCAGTTAAATTAACTTTACAGTTTTCTGATATCTACTTTGTATTTCAGCTTCTGATATCATTTTAAATGCCAGGATCATATCAAACCAAAGTGCATTCCAAAATGTTCACAAACTATTAGACAAGTGACCAAGGCATTGAATCATCCTACCATCATACAGAATCATCAAGAAAGAAATGACATAAATGCCAAGTAAGTATATACCTTTAACATTTTAATTTATCTAAGTGGAACAACTTACAAGACAATATCTATAATAATTATATCTTAATAAATTTTTTAAGAGACAATAAAGCCGGTGCCACTTATCTATAATATTTCATAATGAATAAAAAACTATTAAATCCCATAAAACTTTACCTAAGAGATGATTGCCTCTTGGTGAAATATGTAATGAAGGCTGAAGGGTCAGTGTTGACAATTTACACCTACCTATTAAATTAAATGTTTATTTTTACCAATTTATTTATAAGTGATCAATTTTTCAGTTTACTTAATGTTAACAATAATTTATAGGTATGTGATTCTGATCTTAACATCATGTGTGTCCGGGCCAATATCCCTGATGCAGCCCATGACTCCGGTAATCCACAGCCAACACTTAATGGGTTTAGCTGGTCCCGGTGAAGATCATTCATTTTTAGCAGGTGAGTACATGGGACTTTATGATGGTAGTTACCTACCTAATAACTTTGACTAAAACAAAATAAATTCATTTTATTTTGGTTTAAGCTTAATACCCTATTTGTTGGAATAACATGTACTAGTCTAGAAACCATTGTATAATATTTCAGTTTTGTATTAGTCAATTAGTAGCCAAGTAGTTTTAAAAATGTATTGTTATTATATTAAAGAATTTATTACAAAATGTTAAAATTTCTTTGTGATACACCTTGTGCAAGTGGTTGATCACTCCAGCTTTAAACAACATTGAAAGAACTGCAGAGCATTACTATTATAATTTGCATGTCACCCAATACTGTTGAGTGCTGTATTGGGATGTTTAAACACTACAGACACTGAGTACACATATTGATGAAATTTACTCCATCAAATGAATCTATCATGACAAATTAACTCTATCATGTTTTTTGACATATTAATAATTATAGATTTTAAAGCAGCGGCTCAATGAATGAAATACTTATTATTTTGTGTGCTATCAAAAAAGGAAAAGTAAAAGAAAACAACATAGTCATTGAATTTTTTTTATTTGAGTTACAGCTATAGGTCATGGATGTTACATTTCTGAAAAAAAAGAAAATGTTACTACAACATATAATTCACAATATTTATTTTCAGGCTTGCTGCTCAAGTACTTCACTTCCAAATATGGCAAGGGCACATGCACAACATTCGGCACACCTTCTAAATGTTTCCCCAATATCTCGGTCCATAATATAATATAACCACTCTTATAGTGGTGTCAAGGTGATGAGAGTTGCTGGGCCATCTCCTGAAAACAATGAAGATCATCTTAGGAAAACAAAATATATTATACTAGTTTCCATTGTTATTACCATTGTTATTATTTTATTTTTATAAAGTTCATCACAGATATTTGTTTTTTATTTTCTCTATGTTCTTTGCTTTTTAATTTGTATTTTTTATAAACCTCAAAAGAATAAAATAAATATTAACTTTTAATAGGATATTATTAAAATAAAGAAAGCCTGTTGAAATTAGCAGACAACGTAGTGGACTATTTGCCCTAACTTATTTCGTTATTGCCTTCTCATAAAGAAAGAGATTGGTGGAGGGGTGCCTAGAAGAATAGAACAAATGTAAATTAATACTCACTACTTTCTACTCTGGCAGTCAAGCGAAACACCATATATTTACGCACTCCGTCCATAATCGCTTCGCCAGACTGCATCCTTTTTTGAACCAGGAACATCAAACGCATCTAATTGTATCTCACTCGCCATTTCTGCAACGAATTTAGGAGTTTGAATTACAAAAATTCAAAGTAAAGACAATGATGCACTATGGAGTGTTAAACTATAATTTTATTAATATATTTGTTTGCAGAAATAGATAATACAATTTTATATAATCCATAACATCTAAAAAATACGAAAGTAAGTACTTACTATTTCTTTAGAAAGCATTTTAAATTTGCTGGTCCGTTCCATCAATGATAGATAAGTTAGTGACACTTTTTTCGTTTGGCAATAGCACTTACAAACAGCCAACGATAATTTTATTAATTACGGTGTATAATGTCGTTGTAGTTTATACATTTTTAACAATAAATATGATAAATTCATAACAACTTCATGTACCAAAATAAAAAAAACGTAATACATTTTCAAATTATAATTAAATGATTTATTTATTTTTCCAAACATGGCAATCTTTTTGATATCACCACTGATGAGCCATTACCATTCCATTGCCACTGTAAAGACACTGAGTTAGTGCAGAATACCGAAAATTAATACCGATGCCAATGGCCACTCGATGGCATCTCAAAAGCGTGTCAGTGATATGACAGTGGCTTTGCGTAAACATAAAATAGCAGAATTGAGGCCCAGGTCGTTAGCGCTATTTGATTAATAGAGAAAAGTTTTAAAAAGTCTAGTTTTAAAAGTACTATTCTTTTACTATATTTTTTATCATATAGGTATAGCCTAGCAACTCAGATCAGACATTGTTAACAAATGTTTTCAAATACAACGAACTATTACAAAAATAATAATAATTAGAAATGCATAAATTTTCTGATATGAGGTCTTTTCAACCAAATTACATACAACTCATTTATTCATATTTATTTCATATTATTAGTGATTGAGGTAGGTATGTATAAAACTTTGAGAAGGTCATATCACGATGGATGTCATAATTATAGATTAAGACATAATTCAAAAATAAAAATAATTGACGGCCACTATTATCTATAACTAGCTGACCCGCGCAACTTCGTCTGCGTCTCTGAATAGTAATAAATTTTCCCCGTTTTTGAAACATTCTTCATTGGTGCTCCGCTCCTATTGGCCTTAGCGTGATGATATATAGCCTATAGCCTTTCTCGATAAATGGGCTATCTAACACTGAAATAATTTTTCAAATCGGACCAGTAGTTCCTGAGATTAGCGCGTTCAAACAAACAAACAAACAAACTCTTCAGCTTTATAATATTAGTATAGATATAATTTCGACATATGATTTTCCACTAACGCTGCACATAAAAATATTCACCTACAAGATCGCATTTTTTTCATGTTTGATAATGCTTAAAGCTATTATTAATATTCTATAAGTAACCATATATAACCAGCGAGTAAATTTTAAATTAGTAGCATCGTAATGGTTTGCTGATGACCACAAAAGGTCATGACGATGGGCGTGAACGCGGCCCACCTTTCAAATTAATTAGCGAAAATAGGGCGACACCGGTTATTATACATAGATCGACAGTCACCAACTTCATATTTAGTTAGTTGCAAAGGAAAGATATGTAATCAAAATAACTAATTTTGTTCTATTGTTTGACTATTTGACTGCCTCGGTGGTGCTGAGGTCTCGGGTTCGATTTCCGTGTCGAACCAAATGTTTGTATGATCTGCACATATTTGTTTTGGAGTTTGGGTATTTTTTATGTATAATATGTATATATTTACAAAAAAAAGTATATAAGTATTCTATAAGTCAATCTAGCTTTCATAGTACAAGCTCTGCTTAGTTTGAAACTAGTTGGCGTTGTGTGGAAGATGTCAAAAAAAAATCATCAGTGCATACTGTTATATTTTATTATTTTGTACTTTCACATTCCTAATATAAACTAAATTTGTACAGTAATCAAAGATGTTAGTATTTGTGTTGTAGAATACTACTAATTTACTGATACTTTGGTCTTTCATCTATTCCGAATTTTAAATAAAGTTAAACGTACAGTAACTATTCAAGCTAAAATGTGTTGTTTGAAATAAAATGTAAATATGTATGAATATCAATGAATTATTCAACTGCTACGCTGCACATACGCTGTGATTATAACATGTTCATCTTTGTTATATAGATATTTCTTTATTACTGACGTAAAAAAGCTTGGTAAAAAGAAATTGCAATGCTAATGAAGACATAAACGCATAATAAAACATTTATAAGCATTCATAAGAGGTACAGATGAGCACGTCTGATGTACTAGTTTAGATAGAGGTCTACTTCTCTATAATTGATAGTGGAACACTCCACTATAAATTATAGAGAAGTAGGTCAAGGTCTACTTTCTAGATAAACTGTTGAACAAAGTTGTATACAAATCGACTGATGACAGCTTAACATCATATATTATATGATAATTAAAATTGTACAGCAAAATTATGGAACTGACGTTAGTTTAGAAAACCAATAAACATCCGGTTATGAAATCTTAACCAATAGAGCGTATAAGGAAGGTAGTGCTGTGCAAAATGAAACAAATGATTTCAGTTGCCTTCCTTCATTACAAATCCGTAACAAAACATGTTAGTTCGTTGAACGTACGGCATTATAAATAATATTTACCACAAATAAGGATAACCCTGAGACAATCCGTTAATGAATCATTTATGAACAGAAGTAGAATGGCTATTCCAAATTATGCCTCTCCATTGGCCTTGCAGCGTTGCTATGGTTAGATTATTTGGCCTTATAAATAGTACACACGAGTATCAAAAATAAGTACATAATAGATTTCTAATATTCACTCTTTCTTGAAAATATAATATTATTAAACTGACGTGCTCTCTTTCTTACACTTTTTATTCAGTAATAACTTGTAAACATGACACTCGCCCATACGAAACCACTTGATATAGTAAGATAACACTTTGTTGCGACTAATAGATACGATATCGACACAATTTTCGTTTTAGGTATTATCATTTTAAATGGTTGCAGAACTAAAAAAACTATCTATTCATGGTAACTGAAACGTCACTTTCTCTTTGAAAAAGATTTGCACGTTGTCCAAACGCAATTTGATCATTTTTAAAAGATTATTTTCATGAGAAACCTGTATTGCTTAGCTCGTTGGCTTCGAAGGCTGGGTACAGGGCTGGAGGAGCGGGCGGTGGCAGGTTCAGCAACGTGCAGATCGGTCTTCTTTCGCCTGGCACCCATGTCGAGGTACTGGGCAGCTCCCGACGCGCCGGTGGCCGTGGAAGTGGCCGATACTGACCGCATGTTGCGGCGGAGACTTTCACAGCGCGCACGCACGCGGACAACTGAAGTTCGCGCACGGCTCGCGCTATCGGCGATGCCACCGCCGCTGACGCCGCACCAGCTCGCCCGGAAAAATCAGATCTCGTGGCGTCGACCCTATCCATTCAAGCTGAACGGATCATAATCATGACAATTTTCTTTTTGCCACAATCTAATTGTAATCGCTCACTGTTAAACTTATAAGGTTACGAACCATGATACACACGGCCCCATTCCATTTTGATGTTTGCTATAAAACGCCAGTAACTATTAAAATGTCATGGGAGGACGTAATATCCATGTAGCTAGTTTGGCAACAGAGGCATGTCAAATGACTCAGCGAAGTGTGTCGAAAAGGGAGAAGAGTGCACAAACGATTCTGATGCCTGAACCGTCACAGCGTGCTTCACGCTCGCTGACCACGCACCGGCACTCTGAACACTTTCTTTTGCACGTGATTATGTTTGTGTCATTATAGCGATAGTCTTCGTTATGAACAGGTCAGATTTTATAGCACGTAACAATTCGCCACTATGTCTCACTATTAACGCTGGACGGGGGAGTAATTGGATGGATCAACGTTAATTAACTGACCTAATAGGTCAGTGTCAATGTCTCGACTGGTTTGTTTGTTTTGTAGAGCGTCGGTCACCGGTCCAGATGCCATCTACTACTAGCAATTCGGTGGATACTGCGCATGCGTGTGTCCGTTCAATAATCACAACGTCACAGCTGATGTTCCTTGCTACCCTTATATTATCCGTGTTATACGCAGTAACAACGGTTCAGAAATGTGTATCAGAAAGGCTGCAAATCATTTACAATTAACGAACAAAGATAACATAACTGTTATTTAATTTATCTATGACGTCATAGTCTCACGTCATCCGACACGAGGGTATAATATGCTACAGTACCTATACATTATGTGTGTTTTATTAAAACTTGGGGCAGAAGTCAACGTAGTGTTTAGCTTGTGTCGGTCACGGTTTGGGTTGGTGACGATGTCGGCCAAGCGAAACGCAATTGTCTAAAACCACAGTGACTTACCGTACCACTAAATTCGTACAATTGTTTCAAACAATAGATACTAAAATAAAAATAGGTACTTGGTTACCTTTATTGCTTTCTTTAGTATTCTATAAATAAATATAAAGTTCAGTTTCCACTGAGGGACTGTAACAGTTGGTGGTTTCAAACGCTTAGACATAAATAAAACGTAGGAGAAATGAGCTACACGTACAAAAATAAGTAAGCAAGTCACTACCTACTCCTGCCCTACCATTAATTTAAACAATCTTTTTTTATGGTACACGTAGCATTTTTATTAACTACAGTGGATAATGCGAAAAATAATCTAAATTATTACATTAGATGTCACACATTATAAAGAATTATTGGGCGGTTAAATTTATTCCTTATTTACTTTATTTCCTTTACGATATAGTAAACGACAAATAGATGAACAAAACCCCAGAACATATACATACATTTACTAATTTTTATATCTTCGATTCAACTGTACATGAAACTCTCAAATGTACTCAGAAAAAAAAGAGACATTTGATGTGTCGAGTATAGACAAGTGCACAATAACAGACACAAGAGTTATCAGATTCTGTCTCGAAACATGGACATTTAAAAAAAATTAAAACCTGCATTTTTATTTGTTTTGTACTGTGGCCTACCTGATTTAGAACCTTGCAAAGCCCAAATTAATCATTTTCACCTCAATATAGTTTTAATGTAAGTGCATCTCATACAAGCGCTAAATGTAAATAGAGAAGCATATTATAAAATCTTACATCGCCTTTCACGGATTGTGTAAGCATTTTACAAATTGCTAGTTTTTTCTTTTACAGCAGTGAATGTTATTGATGTAATTCAAATAGAATAGGTACTGGTTTAAGGCACATAACGTACGCAAATACAACGCAATGTAGAAGCCATGTAACGCAAAATGTCCGACCATGCGTGAAATGCGTCCGTTCATGGAAATAAGAGACTTTTTCCATCTTGCAAATTGTTTGTGGCTAACCGTAATGATAGGGATATTTCAAATAGTCCACGGATGGACGAAGGCCTCTCCTTAAAAAGGAGGTTTTGGCCTACTATGCCACGCTGGCCAGGCTGTTGCTTGATTGCACTGCTGTTGTCTTGCAGAGTTTGCTCCCATAGTCGGCTCATATACCCATACGGATGAATAGGAGGGGTGATACTCCGTATTCTTAATGCCTCACCACACGGATAAATGGTATATTCGTCAATTAACATAAAAGTCTAAAAGTCTGAGGTATAAGATTCCATTATTGGCATTATTCATTCATTTCTTGATTTGGCTTTTTATTTGGTGTTTAGTGTGGAGGAAAGGCTGTCGTGTTCCTCCAACACAAGAGGAGGATCCTCCGACCAGGCGAGGTGATCATGCCTGGTGGGCCGCGGCCCAACGGTTGATGATGGGAAGTTGTATACATGCTTATCGGCGAGAGAATTCTTCATATCGTGATACAGGATTAGCAACTCTCATTTAGAAGTTACTCCGTATTTCCGTGTGTCTCCGTTAGTTGGCGCTGCAGTATGTTTCTGTTTTTCTTTGTATGTGGGAGTCGCCACATTTGGTCAAATAATAATAAACCACTCGTTCAAGATTCTTGTAATAAAATACATTAAATCAACATTTATATTATTATGTAATAAATCAATGAAGAAAAAGCAAGTCCTTTACATAAATAATAATCTATTTAAAATTCTAACATAATGTCGCCAATTGGCTTAGCTTCTAATGTACCATCCTGTCATGAAAAATGTCAGACGGACACTTCGCTTCTAAATGTTTTGCAAGTGTATGTATATAGAGGTATATATGCGAAATGTGCTCGGTGCTCGACTCACCGGCTAGATACTAACATGCTAAACCAATTACTACTTTCATTACGAAAGCACTAAACATAGGAGCATGCTATGCGTAGAAGTTTGGGCTGATAAATATTTTACCACGGCATTATATCACTGTAAATGTACTCAAAGGCACTAGCGGTAACGCAAGAATGTTCACTCTAGAATAGCGATAGTTGACAATACGGTAGTTGTTTGTAACGCCAAACACTTTTTTAAATTTCGAAATGACACTTTTTATGTGTAAAATAACAAAATTAAATATATACCTAGCTATCGTCGAATCTTTTTTTTTTAAACTAATGAAGATTTTCAAATAATTTATTTCAAACACATTACGAGAACTCAATTAATGATCGTTTATATAAACTAAGAAGAGGTTCGTCAGAAAATATTAAATCTTTGGTTCAAAAACACGTGGAAAGCAAGTCATGAATTCACGCGTAACATTCGCTAAATCTTATGGAGTCTAATCAACCAAGAGATATATGTATAGGTAAATATGCATTTTATGTATAAAATATGTGCATATTTACTTATGTATGCGGACATTGTTTATTGACACTACATTTACTGCCTTACGCTTGCAATTAATTTGCCTTTGGTAAACTCGTATGTACATATTCGAAGATAGTTCCGTTCAGTCCGATCTTATGTCCATAGATATAAAATCGTAGTTATTAAATGGCAATGTTGTTCAATTATCAACAATTGGGTACAAGCACTCAACTTGTGTTTGATTTGAAACGTTACCATTGTGCAAAAGTTATAGTAATATACAAGTATAAACTAACAAATATACAAGATGTAAATAATTTTATATAAAATTTTAAGCACATTTCTTTGTAGTGATTTGAAAGTCGCAGCTGGTACCTCGTTTGGAACATTGATTAAGAGCTTCAAAAGAAAAGTTTTATCCCTAGAAAGTGCTTAAACAAGGAGAGTGGCATAAAAATCATAAAACACAAAAGCCTTAAAACCACTTCAGGGCATGAGAGACTAAAAATTAAATAACAAAAGTGGCGGCCTTCAATATTTAGTACATTGTCAAATAGCTTTATAGCCTTAAAGGCGGTTATTACAAATACTTATTTACAATATTTTAATTTTGGGAAAATTAATCGTTTTTATTAATTTTGGTAAGTTTAGCCTTAGCCAGAAAACGTAATGAATACGTATAGTAAAGGAATACAAGTTTGGTCCATTATTACATTGAATATCTTGCCTCTATATGAAACGTTTAGATCCCGGGCCTCTGTCTGCTTAGCCAGAGCTCATGGGTTCGATTCCCACCCAGGGCAAATGAATGTGTGATGAGCACGATTATTTAATTATGTGTGTGGGTGTTACTTTTCTATAATATGTAATTAGTAATGTGATGTTTATTAGCAGTCTAATTGCAATAATACAGGCTCTGATTAGGTTTGGATACAGGATCAGAGGAACGTACGTGTTTCAAGATATTATTATACGTTAAATAGCGTACTCAAAATTAACATGTGAAAATTTTGAGAATGCAATAAAATAGAGTATCTTGGATTTTACAGAATACTGTATGTTTATGTTAAAAATAATTGTCTGTCTTTTAAAAGATGGTTGACTTGTCTAAGAAAACCAGAAGTAATTATACTCGTATTGGAAAAGTAATGACTGGTCAATTATCGTTTTTTTACTCATAATAGCTTTTTTGTAGACTGATACACTTTAAGAATACAGAATGTCACCACCCCTATTCATCACGTAGGTGTCGTAAGAGCCGACTAAGGGAGCTTTACTACGCAGGACAACAGCACTGTAAAAAGAAGGAAATCTTGACACAAACCCTGTACCAACCCGTCTGGCCAGTGTGGTATAGTAGGCCAAAACCTCCTTTCTAAGGAGAGGCCTATGTCCAGCACAGGACTATTAAAGAATGTTGATATAATATGTACTTTTACATAATTGCTGGTCTTTAAATAGGCTTCAAGTTTATACTTGAAGCCGATTTAAAGTACTTATTTAAGGAAACAAAATAATGTAAATCTAATAAAAGTTATTATACTATTTTAGAATTGAATTGTCAATGAAGTCGGCGTTTGATTTGTATACTAGGAAAAATACGTAGACTGCTGGTAAATTTAGAGAATTGATAGACCTAAACCTAATAAACTTCATCGGATAGATAGAAGAAGTCTACAGAGGCGATGGTCTCTGTAGACTTCATCTCTCTTTACTAACAAAATTATTTAACGTAGTTGGAGAGCTTAATGA